TATCTGATACTTCTTAGTTATTAGATGCAGGTCATACATTTTTGCTAGGAAGACCGCTGGGGTGGTGCTGTATCTGACACTTCTTTGTCAAATGACAATGTTGAATGTTGGTGGACTCTTCTTTTTTTTTTTAAGTGCAAGTTTATTTTCTTTTTCCTTTTTTTTTAACGATTTATTTATTTATTTATACAAGCACTGGGTACAGTCAGAAGCGCAGGAGGGTGAGAGAATTCACCAGAGCCAGAGCAGAGAGCAGAACTGGCAGACTGATGAAACACTGCTGAGGGGAGCCACGAGCGGCAGGAGAGGTCTGCGCGTCATGTGGGACCCTCGCCAGCTGGCCCGGGGGGAAACGAACCGGTGCTGCAGAGGCTGTGGGCAGCTTCACAACCCAGCGCTCAACCGCTGCGCCATGTGGGGAGGCCCTGTTGGTGGACTCTTGATGTCTGTTTGTCCCAATGTTGTGAATGTTAGCTTTGAACACTTGGTTAAGGTGCTATCTTCTCATTTTCTCCTTCATAAGTTTACCATTTCTCCTTTTATAATTAAGATTAGGAGGGGTGAGACACTTTGAGATTCTCTAAGTATCCTGTCTGCTGTAAAACTTACTGTACATTGAGGATTTTCTAATACCTTTATTCCTTCTACACATGAATGACCAATTTACTAAGGAAGAGCTTTCTCTTGTTCCCATTGATTTGTTTTTTCACTGACTTATTTATAATAGTATGAATTGGTTGATTCTCAAATTGTCTGTTTTGTTATAATCCATTATGTTGTTATTTATTTTGAAGCTCAAATTACCCCTGATCTGCTAATTGGGAGCCTTTACAGACTGGTTCCTTTGTCCTTCTGAAATTGCCCCATTATTCTTATCTTGGAAAATATGCTATTAAAATAAATAAAATGAAGAAAAATAAGACTGTTACTCTCTGAACCACTTAAGAAAGAAAGTTTACAGAACTCACCAGGACAGTCATTAATAATATTCTCCCTGTATGCATCACTCCATACTGCCAATTACTGTATAACATGTTATTCTTTCCCATTCTAGTTCCAGGTACATATTTTGGTTATCTCTGTAACTAGCAACCTTTATCAGAATCACATTGATGAATTGCCCTTTGCTGGATGCCAATAATTTATAAGAAACATCTCTAGAATGTCACATATTTGCTAAGAGCTTTGGTTGATGATACTGTCACTATTACTCAGTATTATCTACATGAGATTCCATAAGATAAATGTTTTCTATTTATTGGAAAAATAAAATATCAGGAGATGCTTTGCTTTACTTCAGAAATTCCTTTTTTTTGTTTTTTAATGATTTATTTATACAAGCACTGGGTACTGTCAGAAGCATGGGAGGGTGAGAGAATTCACCAGAGCCAGAGTGGGGAACAGAACAGGCAGACTGATGAAATACACTGCTGAGGGGAGCAGCGGGTGCAGCAGGAGAAGTCTGCGTGCCATGTGGGGCCCTCACCGGTGGCCGGGGATCGAAATAGGTTTGCAGAGGCTGCGGGCAGCTTTGCAGCCCAGCGCTCAACCGCTGTGCCACCAGGAGAGGCCCTACTTCAGAAATTCTTATAGACACTATGAATCATAGAACTTGAAAAATTTATTTTAATATTGCTTTGGTTTCCAGAAAATCAAGAGCCAATTATAATGTGGCTCAATTTTATAAGTGCATATAGAGAGCCTGAACATTTCTGATCTAAATTGTATGTTGCCATTGATCTTGGCTTTATATTCTTATTTATATTATCCAAAGTTTTACTTCTTTATCTATCTTTATGCATTCTGGTAGGTTAACACAAATATGTGTGAAAAATAGCAAATTACAATTATGATCCCAGGGCTTAGCCATATTCCTTAAAATCACACTAGCTTGTCTAACAGATATTCTCTCAGATTTTAACACAATGGAGCTATATTTCTCACTCACACTAATTTCCTTGCCCAGTAACCTGCCACATGGTTATTCAGGGACTCAGGCCCATTTCTCCCAGTAGGTTTTCCCTCCTGTGGGAACCTGGAGACATTTGGATTCAGCCAGTATATATGGAGGATAATTGAGGAAAGTATCTCCACTTTCAAATGTGTCTCACTGTAAAAAAACTAAAACTAGAATCCACCTATACCAGATGTACCAGAAAATCTAGATGCTAAGTGGGCAGCATCCTCCCAGCACCCAGCTCTACTCTATGGAGAAAAAAAAATAAACTTTTGTTAATTGACTAAATAACCCTACTTAAAAGATGTGCCGAAATATCTACTGGATGATTTAAAAGGATGCTGACTCAGTCAAGTCCTCCTTATTCCTGTAAACCTGCCATGGATCTTCTGTTGGTAATATTCAATTAACATGTATATAGCAATTACATAGTAGTGCCTATGAGTTGAATTTCTTACACAAAATGTAGCAAAATCAAATGTCTGTGTGACCTCAAACTGCCAATTGAAGTTCTTGGTCATGGTCATGTAGGCCAACAGAAGGTTATTATTAATAACTGGTCCCCAGTTGCTTGATAGAGAACTGTGGTCAGTAGACTGAGCAGATGGCTAAGGGAGCATGAACTACATGGACCATGAACACAGTAGTCAGCATGGTGGCGAGAGTTCTACAAAAGGCATCTTGATTCTTTCTAATCCTGAAACAATGCTATCAGGTAGAAGGCCTGAGGCTGATCAACAAAGCTAGGCAAAAACATTACCAAATTATGATATGAGAAGGATGAAGAGTCCTTGAGTTTTAATCTCCATGGCTACAACAATTTAACAGTAAAGTTAATTTCCTGAAATGTCCAATCTTTATATTTCAAGTCAAATCTTTAATATACTCAGATACAGGCTTGCCTAATTATATCTTCAGGATCTTCAACATTCCCCAATACTTTTTTACATTAGGTTCAACTTCTTAAAATGACACTGATTTAAAGGAAGAGGCTATCAAAATTAGCCCATCCAATTTTGGTTCTTTGAATGTTCCTTATCATCAAGCGTTGATTTTTCCACAATTGCTATTCCCAAATCTTTGCTTTTATGTAAGAAGACCCACAGATGTTTCTCTGAGAGTTTTTTTCCTGACATTGGAAATAATACATCTGATATAATTCATTATCATGATTTCACTTATATTCTATATGGTTTCATAGTTTACAGTTCACAAAGTACTTAGGTATATATTGTTTCATTAGATCCTTACAAAAATTCTATAAAATAAAGAAGTTATTGTTATTTCCACTTTATTGAGGAACTAGAACTTTAGAGGTGGGTTATATTGTCCAAATTCACAGTAAATAGTAGGTTAAACATACATTACAGTTTTCTAAAGACAGTCTTGGTTTACAACCATCATTCTGGTATAAGTATTACCTTAAAAGTGTTCCCAAATAGACAATTAATAATTGTCAGTAGTGAATCCTGGACTAGACCATAATTCCTCTGACTCACAGTTTAGTGTTTTTCCACAATACCAAGTTGTTTCCAATCATAACCAAATATCACCATCAAGGAGGTGGGGGGGGGATACGTCCTCCCTCTTTCTGGGTTACTAGAAGTTTCTATAGCAGAATGTTTAGTCAGAGTAGAATGGAGTCATGATTCTGCCTTTCTAAGAACTGGGATAAAGTAAGCAAGTTGGGATAAAGAAAGGAAGGCTGTCCTTTCTTTAACCTCAAGGTAAGCTCCAACATTCATCCTAAGTTTGGAAATCATGTCAATTCAATTTACAACCAAATTGAAAGAAAGTCCAGAGATTTTCCCCAGACTCATGAATCCATTGCTATTATTCAACCCAGGCCTTTTTTTCTGCAGAGTTATGCAACTGTTAGTCTCACACCACTTCTATCATCTATTGAAAAGGTCCCTAAGTGACACAATTTCTTTATTGTTCCCCTTAAAGTTCTATTAGGCAAAAGTATGGCACATTTTTCTTTTCCCTAACAGGCAGAGTAGATAATTTAATGTCAATTAATAACCAGATCATTTACTACCATACCCAATTAAAAAATGTAGCTAACTTGAGAACCAATGTCAAAACCAGATTATTATGATCTGGAAGCTGAACCAAAGCATGGATGAGACAAACAAAAGGAACATGCCCTACTTTATAATACATTTTCCTTCCATTTCTCTACTTTTAGCATTGGCTCAATGTTCCAGTGTTTGACTCCCTCCTCCATCTGCATACCTTCAAGAGGAAGTGACTCCCCATGAAGCAGTGAAGGAAACCATCTCAAACAAATGGCAGTAATTATAAAGCCACTTCACATAGTCAGAATAGACTTCTGTCTGAAGGAAATAGCAACACTGAGATTTTTATGAAAAGTCCCTTTGTTCCAAACGTTTTTCAAGAACAAAAATGTATCTTCACACTTTTGTCATTATATTTATGAGCTGTAAATCCTCATTTTATGGAAACACTCCAGCTTTTCAAACTCCTAAACCAACCTGGTAAATCTTCAACCTCAGGAGTTCAATTTAAGGAGAACCCTTTCAAAGATACTGACATTTTATAGGGAATTTTTGGAAAAACAAACAATGAGAGTTTTCAATGTACATTTTTTTTTTTGGAACCCTAAAGACTTGTCATGGGAGGCAGCTCACATATGAAAGAATAGACTGCTGCTGAGATGACATTTTCTGAGTCCTGGGTGAATATGACTCAAACAATAATAGTAAGATGTTCTCTCGGGAAATCTGGTCAGGGGCCCTTAACAAGCCATCATTGTTTCCTTAGAGGACTATTTTACTTTCCTAACAGGGTATCATGATGTTGGATATACAAGTAAATTTTTGAAAGGGAGCAAAATAACTCCTTAGAAAACATAAGCAATTGTAAAGCACTTTACAAATATTGTTGGTCTGAGGTTTTGCCTTCACTCTTACAATAATTCCCCTTATTTGCTGGACACAGTCCTGTTACAGTGGTTGGTATCCCCGTGAACCGTAGGCCAACCTCTACTATGACGCCATTTCAACACACCCAAACTCACCATGTTTAGCCAGCTGGTAGTCCACATCAGCCAATCCAAATATTTCATTGTTGGATGAAATAGTTTCACTGGCAACAACAGGTCTCAGGCATGTGAATTTTATTAAGTCATATTCCATAGACTATGACAAAACAGAACACAGAACAACTCACCTTAGTTGCTGAGTGAGACTTATTACAAACAATTTCCACACAGTCACTGAACAATGTTCAAAAAATTGTGGTCTTTATGGAACTTTAAGTTGTGGAGGTATACAGAAGTGCCCAGAGATCCAATAGGAACTGTGTGTTTTTCTGGTAATAACTAGTTCTTAGTTCATGAAGTGCTTAACAGAGGTGGGAGTGGGTGTTGGTTAATGCTTTAAATAGAAAAAGACACAAACTATATAATGGAATATTTCATCTTTTTCTTTCCAATGTGTGATGATAGCTGTGCCAAGCAGTAATGTTCTATTCCTGAAAGTCTATAGCAAGCTTATTTAATGGCATGATCAGCAGGGTGCCCATACTAGCTCCTACATGTACCATTCTCTGCATTCTTGAATGAAAGACTTCCCTTTCATAGGCCACTGTGGAAACACATCATTCCCCACAGTGGAACTTCTCCAGGCTGTCATAACTGCTTTTGGGAATGTCTTTAGCAGCCACTAGGGATTAGGCACTGGAAAAAGAATTCCAGGGCAATCTTTAGGCCAGTTTACCAGGCAGGTTTAATATGCTCAGCAGTGTTACCAACATATTAAAAAAAAAATTTTAAGTGCTTATCCTTACTCCTTTGAAAGTGAATAAAGAATGTCTCAGGGAAACAGGACTTCAATTCAGCAAATTCAAACTCAGAAAGTGCACAGATCGCATCGAAATGAAATACTAGCATCAGTCAGGAGGGGAGCAGTCACAGAAAGGTTGCTCAAACAATATGATCTGTTTGGAGGAATCAGTGATGTTTTGGCTACACAAAGAAACTTGGGCCAAGATTCAGCTGTGGGAAACTGTTTCCCTTTGCTGCTACTGACCTGTGCAGTAACCATCCCCCAAGCCCACCCAGTGTGATGTCTCAGATTTGAAACCTTATGGCAGTGTGGCTGTGTGTCCTATAGCCCACTGTTCTCTGATTTTTTATTATGTGTTCATGAATCTTATCCCTCCACCCAAATTATAATCACTTTAAGGTCACAAGCTATATAAAATTTGCCCTTTGGATCCCCCATGAAACTTTTCAGAGTACGGAGCACACAATCAGTACTCAATAACTGTTTATTGAAATAATTAAATAAAGTGATGTTGAAGGAAAGAGATGAGCAGGAAATCCATGAATCCAATGTACTGTGAGTGCCATGGAACAAGCCCTGGGATGGCTTTTCTGCTCTCTGTTGTATCCCCAATGCCCAACACACATATATTTTGTTGAATATATAGGCTTTGTTCAATGAATTCATGAATGCAAACAATATTTTACAATTTTTACATTTTCTCTGTTTTAATGTACTTATACATTGCACACATTTTCCCACTCAGTAACTACTCTTTGATAACTGATTTTGTGATAGCTGCATTTATTACCATGAATGGACCATGATTTATTTAACCGGTACACTAGAAATGTAAATGTTTTGCTTATCTCCCTCTTCCTTTCTTCTAATGATTAGACTTTAAAAATTTCACATAGAAAAGTTTTCATTTAGCTTTTTGAAAAACCAAATAGCTTATGAGGACATGGGGCGGGGGGTGTTTTTTGATTAAAAATTATAGTTTTATTGAGTTTTCTTTGTTTTACATTATTTACTTATTTTTATTGAGGTTACATTAGTTTACAGGATTGCTTGTGTTTCAGAAGTGTGGGATCTCACCCCCTTCAGGGGTTGTTACTCTACCATACCCACCACCCAAGCACCCACACTCCTCCACCACAGTCCATTGTGTCCCCTCCACACTGTGTTCTCCCCTCTTCCACTCTGGTAGCATCAGTTCCACTGACAGGTTTCTAGGCTTTGTTACTAATTTGGCTTTATCTGACCCTTTGTTTTGCTTCTCTACATTGTACATATAAAGTGATACCATGTGGGATTTATCTTTCTTCTTATTTCACTTAGCGTAATCCCTTCCAGCTAGATTCATGTTGCCACAAATCACAAGAGTTTATCTTTTTTTAATATCTGAGTGGTATTCTATTTTATACACACACATACACACACACATTTTCCTAATCCACTCATCTATTTTGGGGCACTCAGGTATTTACCATAGTTTGACTATGGTAAATAGTGCTGTAATGAACACAGGAGTGCATACTTCCTTTCAAGTTAGGGGTTTTGTATTCTTTGGAGAGATAACTAGGAGCGGAATTGATGTCTGTGGGAGTCTGCTATGGTGGACCCACACTCAGACTCCTTCTCGCAGTCTCTCAAGGTAGTGCTGATGTCAGTGGAGGTCTGTTTCTGAATTCTCTCCTGGAGTTCACGCAGGTCTGTGACATGTTACTACACACAGGCCTACCTAGTTTCCTCTGCTGCTTACATGGCTGTCCTGGCCTCTGGGACTCGCCCTACCTTCCTGGGAGGGCTACCTGCTTGGCCTCCTTCATTTTCCTGGGGTCCCCCCTCCCTCCTACATTATTTTTAGCAAGTGCTGGAATGATCTGTTTTCCTCTCAGTTTTCTGACTTTGTTCTACTGCAACCTAGCTATGATCCTGGTGAGGAGATGAACCCAGTGTCTTCATTCTGCTACCATCTTGTCCTGCCCCTATTTTATTTACTTCAGACCTTTTCATTTTAATGTAATTATAGATTAGCATACTGTTATAATAATACAGAGAGATTCTGTGTACCCTTTATCTAGTACCTCTCTCCCTCATGGTGTCAGCTTACAAAATTACAGTGTAATATCACCACCAGATACTGATTGATTGATTGATTGACACAGTCAAGATCCTGAACATTTCCATCACCACAGGACCCCTGCTTTTGTACTTTATCGCCACATCCTCTTCCTTCATGCCTCACACCCTCCTCACAACCTAGCAACCATTAGTTCGCTCTCCATTTCATGGATCCTATAGAAATGGAATCATGCAGTATGTAAACTTCTGGGATAAACTTTTCCACTGAACATAATTCTCTAGATATTCACCCAGGTTAGTGCTTATAGTAACAGTTTATTCCTAGTGCTCCTACAAAGTAGTATTCTGTAGATGGATCTATCACAGTTATATTGACTATTTGCCCATAGAAAAAATCTGAGTTGAATTTCCAGTTTTGCCATGAATAAAGCTACTGCAAACATTTTGGTTTTATATGAACATATCTCTTTATTTCTCTGGAACAAACAGCCAAGAAGGTAGAATGCAGTTGCTGGATTTTTTTTTTTAAACTGCCAAGCTGTTTTCCAAAATGGTGGTATCATTTCACATTCCCAGCAAAGCACAAGTGATCCAGTTTTTCCACCATCTCACCAAAATGCAGTATTGTTATCAATTTTTAAAATTTTATTCTCTGATAGGTGTGTAGTGATATGTCATTTTTAAAAACTAGTTAACTTTATTTTGGGAGCAATTTTAGTTTCACAGCAAAAGTGAGCAGAAACCACAGATCCTCCTATGTCCCTGCAACTAACAAGCAGCTTCCCCTCCTGCAGACATCCTCCTGCAGTGGGACACTTGTTACAACGATGACCCTATTGAAACATTATCACAGTCCACATTAGGATTCACTCTTGTGGGCAAAGAATTGATCATAAGATTCTTTCATTATCCTTTCAAGGTTTGTGAGATCCATAGAGCTGTTCCTTCTTTCATTTCTTTTATTAGTAATCTGTCTTCTATCTTTATTCTTAGTTAACCTGGCTAGAGGCTTATCAGTTTGTTATTTGTTTATTTCTGCAAAGAGCCAAACTTTTTGTTTTGTTGTTTTTCTCTTCTAATTTCCTGAGTTAGATTTCATTGATTTCTTCTCTAATTGTTATTGCTTCTTTTCTTCTGCATATTTTGGATTTAATTTGCTTTTTTAAAATTCTAACATTCAAAGGTGGAAGCTACACTATTGATTTTGGATATATCTTTTCTAATATATGCATTCAATACTATAAAATTCTCTCTAAGCACTACTTTCACTGAATTCCAGACTTTGTCAGCTGCACTTTCATTTTCACTTTATTTCAACATATTTTAAAATTTCTCCTAAATGTATTTTTGACCCATACGTTACTTAGAAACATGTTGTTTAATCTCTAAATATTTGAGAATTTTCCAGTTTTCTTTGTTATCGATTTCTAACTTAATTCTTTTTTTTTTAAGATTTATTTATTTATTTATTTGTTATTATTTATTTATTTTTATTTTATTCTGGGTACAGTCAGAAGCGCAGGAGGGTGAGAGAATTCACCAGAGCCAGAGTGGAGAGCAGAACAGGCAGAGTGACAGAGTACACTGCTGAGGGGAGCAGCGGGCGGCAGGAGAGGTCTGCGCGCCATGTGGGACCCTCGCTGGTGGCCGGGGATCGAACCAGCGCTGCATAGGCCACGGGCAGCTTCGCAGCCCAGCGCTCAACCGCTGCGCCACCAGGGGAGGCCCGATTTCTAACTTAATTCTAATGCCGTGTGAGAGCATATCTGTATATTACAAAATGATTTTGACAATGAAGTGACTTGACCTATCCATCAACTCACACTTTCTATTTTGCATCTGAGTGCGTTGAGAATATTTAAGATTTACTGTCTTAGCAACTTTCGGTTATACAATAGTTTTGTTAGCTATATCCTTACAGATCAGACCAAATGGAAGTCTCTTTATTATGATTTTAATTTATAATATCCTAATGACTAGTCGTATTGAACATCTTTCATATATAAGGACAGTTTAAACTACATTTACTTTTAATGCTAGCTAAATTTTCTAGCTAAAAGAGTAACCACATCGTCCAAAAAAGTTTTCAGTTAAAAATAGACTATAATTCAGGGCCTCCCCTGGTGGCGCAGCGGTTGAGCGCTGGGCTGAGAGGCTGCCCGCAGCCTCTGCAGCGCCAGTTCGTTCTGCAGCTGCCAGCGAGGGTGCCCCCCCCAAAAAAAAGACTATTCAGGGTTCAAGAGTCATGTGTCAGCTAGAAAGATCCTCAGAGAGTT